GGAGGGGCCGCGAAGGCGGGGATGTCCACGAGGCCGGCGGTGCGATGGATCTGTGTAGTTGGTAGCGAAACGCCTCGACATATTTTGTTTTTAATTATTGCTACTTGTTCGGCATTCCTGCCTTTCAAGTTGTTGATACACGAGTACTTCACTTTAGGGATAATCATATTCATGGCTAAAACAAAATATACTTTCATTGGTGCTGTTCAATTGGTGATGTTCAATTGACGAGATACTTAGATTAAAATTAGATTCAAGATGTATGGTTGTAATAGTTGCATTACATGTTTGTCTAGTTGGAAGGTTTGAAAACATCTTTCGGGTATCGTGCAATAAAATGGTATTTGTTGTGGATTTGGAAGGGTGAAGCGACTTTGGGTGCATGTTAATTGGGGCGGCGAAATAAAAATGGCGTCTTAAAGGTAAAACTTGTTAAAGAACGAGAGAAAATGCTGCAAAACTTTTTCCAAAGTGTCTGTGGTCGTGCCGATTAAACGCTGGGGGGGGTGAGACGCCTCGTTCTCTTCCTCTTTGTTCGACGTTCTGCGTTCTTTTAGAAGACGTTGTTTGATAATGATTCAATAGTTAAATTTGCGTATGGAATATTATCAAAGTTCTAGGAAGAAAGAAAGAAAATAATTACGGTGACACAGAAAAATACTGATCTAAAGTTGTTTTCTAAACGATGCCTATCTCCTCGAAAAGATGCATTATTTGAAAATGAAAACATTATCTAATATTTTCATTTGCCTTAATACATACAACGCGTTTATTAGATTTAAAACAATTTTAAAACTGTTCAATTCTATACTTACTAAAACATTATTGCATATTTTCCTGAACTTTGCAAACTAATAAATAGTAATATTTATTGAGTTTTTGAAACGAATGCTCATAAGAATATTTTTGTAAATGTAGTAGTGCCAAGTTTTCGTACATTGCCGAAACAGCCTCGTTGATCCCGCACGATTTTCATTGACGTGCATGAATAACGAGGCTTTCGGTTGTAAATCGGGCGCCCGCCAGTAAAAACCTCTTCGCAGGAGCGTTCCCGCCCTCCTCCTCCTCTCCGGCGAGCCGCCTGTGAGGACGCAAAAGCCGCCGCTTCCGCTTCTTCTCGGCCGCTCCCGGCGCCGCGGCGCGCGCTGGCCACTGCAGGCGGTCCAGCACCTGCCGCCCGCCGCCGCCGCCTCCCCCGCCACTCGCGTCGCCTCGCCTGTGCGGGCTAATAGCCGCCACTTCACATGGCGCCTTCAAGCGCTCCCTCCCGCCCTAACCCCTCCGCCCGCCCGCCCCCGCCCCGCCGCTGCGGCCACCCTCTTCGCCACCGCGGCGCTGCAGCCCCACACATAGCGCGCTCCTCCCCTCCAAACTCAGCGTTACTTCTGTTTCATTCAGGAATCAACTCCGTTTCAATCAGTCTCATAGAATTAAGATATATCCTACGTTTCTTTCAGTTCCAAAACATGCCAAGGGGATGGCAAGTTATTTTATAAGCTATCGCCCAATCAATGAAGCTTGACACTTCAGACTGAAGCAATATATTTACGGATATTTAGTTTTATTTAAAGTAATCTGGAAGAAGCATAGCTCAAAACTAGCTGTCAATACTACCTTTAAGTCTTCGTATATTTCTTCGGCTTCTTCTTTCTCGCAATATTCATGTCTCTAAAGATGCCAATCAGGATATCCATAATTCATTCCTCTTCCTACTTCCCTTTCCATTCCCTCTCATCCGCCTTCCGGGCACTTCAAAATGGTCGCGCGTCACCGCTCCAGCTCCTTTCGCCGCATGCGGTGGTCCCGCTAATTCACGTTCCTCCCAGATGTGCGGAGCCGAGCAAAAATAAGCGTTTTAACTTGTGCCGCGCCGCCCGCGCGCCACGCCGCGCCGCCCGCGCCATTAGCGAAAACTTGCCACCCCGCGTGGCCCTCCCATTGCGGCGCCCTTGCCGACCGCATCGTGCCGCCCCGAGGCTCTTTTGCCGACGCACTGCGCGGAATTCTAACTCGGTGGTTGTCTTGTTGCATTATACACTCGTTGAGGTTTTGGAAGTGATATTATTCTTTGATTATTCTATTATTGACGAAAAGTCGAATACTGCCTTGAAAGATTTTGATTACCATTATAATTAGTTTAATTTATTGTACAGTAGCTAACCATATCAGTGCAAATTCAACATTATCGTTCTGAATGTTAAACTAAAGAACAAATAATAAATAATATTAATAATAATAATACATATAATATAATTATAATTTAATGTTATTATATTTATTTAAAAAGTCTTTATACCAAAGAACTTCGTTCATCGAAAATGATGATATGTTTTAAGTTCACTTTTGATGATTTCCAAAGTCTCACCAAAGTAGATAATGTACCTTCATTTTTATAAGTTCACACTATTATTTCTTATTTATGCCCAAATTCTAATCAATAAAATGCTTGAAAATGTCTACATTCTACAAATATTTAATAAAATTGCCTTGCTTATTCAACTCCTGCATACATTTCTGATAACTAGCTGTAAATTGCTGCATATTCAAAAACACTACATTAGTACGTCTTTTCCCAATGCGCGCGCAACTATTATTTGACCGTTAAAGAAAGGAAAAGATACGGTTAAAAGATAGGAAGGGGCACTGATTTTGCCGATGTGCTAGATATGCAATGCGTGCGTTTGCTTTCGGAAAACGCCCGCGCCAAACGCACGCGCGTTACGTGCGGAGCCGCGCGGCGGCTCTGGCAAACGCGCTGCCGCACTCGCCGCACAACGCGCTTCACAAAGGCGCGCTCCCGCCGCCGCCGGCGGGCGTGGCCATCGTGTTCAGCGCCGATTAAGTGCCAGCAAAAGACTTCTCTTTGCTGAATTGCGAATCGTATTAATTCGCATCCTACTCTTGCTGGGGCACGACAGCGCGCGCTCTGTTCAGCCGATTCGGTCGATTAAAGCATAATCATCCATCAAGCGCTGGCCACTATCGCGTCTCGCTTCAAACGCTGCCTGCCGCCTGCGCTGCGCCGCCCCGCCCCGCGCCCCCTCAAATCCCCGCCCCCTCAAATCCCCGCCACCCCAACAGCTCCACACCGACCCGCCCTTGGCCCCGCGCCCTCCTTCGTTGCTCCACCCCACCGCTGCCCTCGCCACCGCCCCGCCATCACGACGCGCCGTGCTGCACCGAGCCATCCACGCACCGTCCGCCGTGCTTACCCTTATCGCAAGCTCCTTCCCCCACCTCACCACCGCTAACGCTGTCCCTTAACGGGCCTTACAGGCTTGTTGCAACAAGGATTTGAGCATATTCTTACACGTTTCGAATGATATGCGACAGACTTCGGAGAATTCCTAATTGATGGCAATCACGATACTTCCCAATGCTACTTTTTAGAACGTCTTTGAAACACAGATGGATACGCATGAAAAAACTTCTAGGACGAAACAAATCGACCCAGGTATGAGTGTCATCCTACCCTCTATCACCGCTAATTCACACCCCTTTCCCCCTCTCCGTCTGTTCCACATCACATCATTCCGTTTTCATTCTCTCCACAGTTTCCACTGACCAGCTGTCCAGCTTCCACTCCCGCACAGCTCGAATCAAGCCCAGAGGCGTTAGCATAATCGCGTAAATTTGTTTTTCTCAGGTTGCCACCCGACGCAGAACTGTTGCCGGGTCACGTGAGGGCTCATTAGGTCCTGCGGTTAGCGGTGCCGGGCCTTCCCTAATTGGCGAGCGCTGCCGACAGCCCCGACAGTGGGCGGCGGTGACGGGCGTGCCGTTTTTATCGGAACGAAATAACCGCCATAGAAACACGATGCCTAATTGGAGGCGCTAGCGACAAACCGATATATAAAACCAGCATCCACACGGACTAGCTTTTATCGTGACAGATCACTATGGAAACGATGTGTTAAACCCGAGCTGTTTTGAATATCAAATCACATGTGATGACCAGGGTGTAAAATTGTCGGTGTGGATGGACACAACAGGACACCATTCGGTAAATCTCTATGCTAATTTTTATCGATTAGTAATGTAATGAACATGTTATTTTAAATATCCATGAAAATTTTAAAGCAGGCGTAGAAAGGGGACAATAGTGTTACAAGCATTTAGTATATTACTCGAGTAATGTAATGAGCCTGGTGCTAATATGACAACTGATAATTATTCATACGTCATTCCACCCACTTTTTATACTTCCGCGGTTTCGGGAATATCTACTTAAATGATCAACCCACATTAATTCTCCAATTTATTTTTAATTTGTCTCTACAAGAATCAGTAAATCCCGACAATCCATATCCCCTGACGGCAATCACGCTCGCTCTGTTATTCCGATTACTGTGTGTTTGTCAACACGTCCATCCTCTGACTCTGGCGTTTTGTTGTTTAGTCACAACATCCTCAAATCTGAAAAAAATAAGTACGAAATCGCCATTCTATTTGTATCCAATGAACACCACTGTTTTGACTTCTGTGCAAGAACGATTATTGTGATGGCTTGATGAAGAAAAACTCAACGATCATTTACTTAATGAAGTACTTCCTTTTACCTTTCCATAAAATGTTGACACATTGCTGTGCAAGAATTGTGCGGCCTGGGACAATACTTTTTTTTAAATAAAATATTGAGCAATTGGAGAGAGGTAAATAATTTAAATTTTCTCAAAAAATAATTGAGGCATCCAGTGAGAGGAGCTATCCACAAAATTCGAAAAACATGTTAATTACAGAACATTATCAATGTGTTCATTCAATATGGAAATACGATCACAAATCCCCTTGGGTGCCTCCCTTTAGAATAATGCTTATGGGTGAAAATTAGGTCCGTAAAACCCTTGGGAAGAGTTCACGATTCACCCAGACCATGCCATTTCTCCATATGTTTTTCTCCAAATCTCCTGGCCCCCGTGCGAAGACCAAAATGCCGGCGCCGCGAAGCCGGCGCGGGCGCGGCTGACGGATGCGGCGCGCGGATCGCATAACGCACTCACCCGCGTGGTCGTCCCGCTTGCGCTTGGTGATGGAGGTTGCCGTTGGGCGCCTGCGACCTGCGGGATGCCCAGATCCGGTTGATGCTATAGGCCCGGGGCGGCTGCGGTCGGTGGGTGCGCCACGGAGGAGGCGGGCGCGTGCGTGATGACGAGACGGAGCCGGCGCCCGCGCCGCCCGCGAGGCTGCCGCCGCCGCCGCCGCCGCTCGACGCGGGCCGTGCCGGCCGAGGCCGCCGCCACGCGCCGCCCTGCCGCCGCCCCGTCGCCGCCTGCTGCCCGCCGCCGCCGCGCTGCGCCTGCGCTGCTGGTGCACGTGCTTCGCCTTCTCCGCCGCCTTGTTGCCGCACGATCCTCGGACAAGCACGCCTTTAGGAAAAAATCTTTCACTCACTCCAATCCACGTCCTGAGTGTTAGCTGTTGAACAGAAAAGAAATATTTGGCAAAAACACGGCATAAAATGAGTAACATTCCATTCTTTAGATCTACGAACATGTTCATTCTTCACTCACTCTCTTTACTCGTTCGTCACGTCATAAAATCACTTTTTCATTCATTATTCATTCACTTATTTCATCATTTATTCATCATTCACTGCTTTCAAATAGGTATTTTACAGCGCACTACGTATGAGATTTTAAAATAACCTGTGATAATACAACTATTTTGCAATGTGAAATGAAGCAGTTCAACGAAATGTCTCTTCTTTTAATTTGTTTTTCTGTACTGCTTACTCGCTGCAATGCTTCTTAAAAGAACAACAATCTATTAAATCTGTGTAGTACGCCTTAAGTTTGCGCAACTACCACAACGCACGAACGTATGAGTGGTTTGCCGTGTGTGACGCCGCAAACATCTTTAACTCTTAACCGTTGCTACATCTGGCCTTGGGCATCGTGCCACAAAGCGAAGGGCAAGAACATCACTCAATTTTCATTTTTTAAAAAAAATATTTTTTTAGTTCTTAATGCATAGTAAAGAAAGACTAACGATTTTAAAAATCTATTGAATAGAGTCAAGTTAGTCCCAACTCGGCGTTGTCTTATCGTTTTATACGATTACAAATAACTTTATCTCTATAAGGCGTTTTTCTTTTTTGGAAATTGTCAGTCTTAATTCACTACCTCTCTACATGTCACCAACGGTCCATAATCACGCCCACTCACGACCACCATCTCCATCAGAACCAGTTTCCCGGACACCACCACTTCGCTTCGCAGGCGGCGCCTTAACTCATCATCGAATTACTTCATTCACACGCCTCACCACACATCCGACCGCAACCGCAGCCACTTCCTGCCTCGGTCCGCAAACCCTGCGCGCGCGCCCACTGCGAATCGAACCTGTGCGCGCCTGCCCCCGCCGGCCGCCCGCCGCCCGCCGCCGCCGCCGCCACGAGAGATTAATGCCAGCGCACCCCCGCGCACGCGTCGCAGCCGAGGGCCACCCCATTCACGCGGCCCGACAAAGACGCCCTGATCGCGGTCATTACAAAATAAACCGAGCGCGCCGCCCCGGCCCCGCCCCCTCCCTCGCGAGTCCGTGTCGCCCCCATCCCCACCCCCGCTGGGAGGGGTGGCGAAGCGCCGCGCCCCTCGCTAGCCACGGCCGCCTGACTCTAACGCATAACTGCGTGCTGAGTGGGTGGCGGCCCCCGTTCAAGTAGCCGGATATTGCTTAAGGGCGATGCAGTCAACACTTTGAAGACCAGGAATCCCTGATGTGAAAACACATGTTTGGGGGTTCGATAAGTCGAATTAATAGTCGACGTTTGCAGCAATGCCGATCAAAATTTGCTTATTAGGAAATACAATGGCAGAAATATTTAGTTGTGCATCTTAAAAATATAAGTACTATTTAATATAAAAAAAAGATATAAATTATCTGCATTAATCCTTACCAGATCGATTGTAAGTATTTGTGACCGAATATTATGAAATATGAAAAGTTTTCATCGGCCAACATTCTCTGTGGAAAAAGTCCAAACTTATTTTACGAATAGAAGACTTAACAAAATGTTCAATGCTTAAAAGAATTTTAACAATTTTTGATAATTTTATTTTCATTTAATGCGTCGTGCCAATGAGGTTATCGGCCATATTCTTATGAGGGAAGGGAAAGAGCCGTCTAGAAACGCGTTTCGATCGCATCGAATTCGGGAGGCGCGCGGGCGCGGAAGCGGGGGGCGCCGGCGAAGCAGAGGCTGCCCGGGCAAAGGGGCGATCAGGACCCACGGGGGGCTGACGCGTGGCCTCCGCACTAAGTGAAAGCGCACACGTGAGCTGGGTGGTGCCGGTTTGATGCAACGCGGGCGGCGGGGGTAGGACGGAGCAAGGACGCGCGGGCGGGGCGCATGTGCCGTGGTGGCGCTTCGCACGATCCGACCCTCGACCCTCATCCCCCGACGCCCCGCGCGCCGGCCCACCCGCCGCCGCCGGCTGCTTACATCAAGCCACGCTGAAGCGACTGCTGCTGGCGCCGCGAGGGCGGTGTCGCTGATTGCGGTCGCCACTCTCGGCGAAAACGAGGAAGATCATTCACACGCGTCGTTATGAAATTCTGACTCGTGTTAATTCGGCGCCACAAAACAAAACTGCGCATTATCACTAAAGAGATGGTAGTTCTTATTCATAGACAAAATCTCTCTAACAATCAATAATAAAATAACTCTTAAATTTGCTATATATGCGTCAAGAATAATTTTGTCACGAAGGAGAAAATACCATAATTTGGCCATTTTAAAGACTTTAATTTGTATCAGCGTACAATTATATTGGTCCAAAAGTAATATTGTTATGTGCACATTATCTTGTTCTCTCCAGAAAGCAGTCGCTTGAGTATTGTCACATATAGTAAAGTTTTGTGTTTTCCTAAAAAATAATTACGACATATTTCTACGTTTGCTAAGCATTTTGATTTTCGCAAGCATTTTTGCTCTGCAACGAGTGGACCGGTGTCGGACTGCGCGGTGCCGATTCGAAGCGCGGCGTCGCGATATGTCGCAAGTGCCACCGCGCTACTAGAAAGCGGCGCTAATGACAGCCGATGCTCTGCAGTGTCTCTCTGGCGACAGCGCCCCGGCTCGAGCGGCCACGACGGCGGTCGGCGGGGCAACGCCACAGCCGGGGGCGGCGAGGTCTCACCTCTGCCTCACCCCGTGATAGATTGACAGACGTCTGGATAATCTGTGTGATGAGATGACGTTCTCCGGCGCTTTTCGGTGTCGTGTTTTATAAAATGTTTGAATCGGACGGTGTGATGGCGGTGGATCGTGTATAATTAACAGTAACGTATGAGTGCCTAAGTTTAGAATTTCAGACGATGTACGCTACAAGGTCACCTGAGGGACGGCTGGCGAACTTTGATGAGAAGAAATTTCTAATTTATTCCAATGCCTTTGAGTCTAAAGAACAAAAAAAAACTAACATTTCTTCTTACGCTTATTAAAAATTGTGATTTACTTTATAGAATTACTGACATTTTCTGTCCCTATAATGAGAATTTCATAAAATAATAGATAAAAAGACTCCCATTTTAGATAGGATTCATAGGTTTGTTAAATGCAATGTTTTTGACACTGGAATATTCAAAAAGATTTTCTGATTTTTTTTCATTGATTTTCAGATTTATAAATTTTGCTCCTGTAAATCAGCAACAGGCAATGCTGAAAACAGAGGACACTGATTTTTGAAAAAGAATGCCAACGGCGAACAAAAAGTTTTGGCAAACGATATGTTTCGTGAGAATACTTGCACACTTGACGAGGACACTTCATGCGAAAGGTCTTCGTGCGCAAATTCGAACCAAAAAATGCTTCACTGCGTAAACGACTGCACACCAGCCAGGCGCGCACGCGTTTGTCTGCACTCAGGTTTAGTCGTTGGGATGAGAGGGGAGTCACCCGCACCTATTCACCGAAATCGCATACATTTACTAATTGAGCAATTTTTGATGCTTTTAAAAAAATAAGGCTATAAAACGTAACCGAAAAACAATGAAGAGCGAACAACAAACGGGCGCAGGGCATGCGGGTATGCCTTTGTTTGTGCTGCCCGCGATCAAACGGCGTCGGCGGCGGTTGGCGCCGGCGCTTTGGCCGCGTAGGCGGGTGCGTGGGTTATTGTTAATGAGCCGCTGGCGCACCAGCCGGGCGACGGGCCCGCGGCCGGCAGACGGGCATGTTTTGTTGTTTTGCTTGTTTCCGCTTCGGTTGCAGGTTTGTAAATTTCACAAGCGTCATTGCTTTCCTTCCTCCCCTCGCCTTTGCGCGTCCCACTCCGTCTCTTTCCCCACCGCCCCCCTCACCCTCCCCTCACCCGCCCCTCTCCGCTCGCCTCGCGGCCTTCGCCATAAAACAGCCCCACCCATATTTTCCCAATGACTCCTAATGACGTATGCCAAAAAAATTAACCAATAGCATAATATTCGTTAATAATGCTAATACCCTCGCTGGAAACTGTTCTGGTAAACGTTCCGCGACCCTCTTCACAGAATTTAGTCCCCCCACCCTCGCCTTCCTTTTCAAATTGGTTGCTTTCCTTAATTTTGTTTGTTAGCGAATTTATTAGTATCTCATTATTGCAGAGTTACTGCGAAAAACCTGAAGAAAACAATGCCTTCAACCTATTTATATGCGGGCAACTATTCTAATTTTGACAACAAATGCGCCCGCGGGTTTGCCAAACATAAATCGTTCAACCTGTCACAGGCGTCCGCCCGCAACCGTCACCAGAGATGCAGGGCTGTCGCGCGTCCCCGCCGCGAGGGCGAGACGCGCGGGCGCCCCCTGGCTGTCCCTCGAGGACCGTGGTTGGGCGCAGGACGCGCCCTCGGCCTCGACGCCACAGGGGCACAGGGGGCCAACTTCCGCCTCCGGAGAATTCAGGGGGCGTTCATTAGATGCGCGTTGGCCCCGCCCCCTGTGATTCGCGGCGAATTTTCATTCTCAAATACCAGGACGGGGTGGAGGCGCCTGTTGTTTAGGCGACTTGCTGACCGTCTACCATAGATAACTGATTTCGAAGTGTTCTGCACTTTTGTGGTGAAACGCTGGGAAGCTAACCGCGAAAAAAAGGGCCTCTTCCTCAAGCGCCAAGAAGAACTATCACTCAGCAAGGCGACGCGGACATACAATGCAGAATATTTTCAATCAGTGATAAACTTTACTTTTGGAGAGAAAATTGTTTAGGGCGTTGGATATTCCAAAGAAAAATAAATATGATCTAATGAAATTGCATAAAATTTCTCTGTTTTGTAACACTTTTATAGTAAGAATATAACCTCAACGAAAAATTAAAGGGTGACACATATACCGAGTACAATATTCATTTTTATTGTCTACTAGTGAATAAAAAGAAACTACTGAACT